GAGACAGAGTCCTTAAGCAGACTCCCTGCTGAGCACAGAGCCCAACACGGGGCTCCATCCCAGGACCCTGAGATCAGGACTTGAGCCAAAATCAAGAATCGGCCACCAAACTGACTGAGTTACCCTGATGCCCCTCATTATCTCTTTTTTAAAAAGTACTTACAAAGCAACTGAGTAGTTTAGAGAGGATTCAGAAGAGATGCTTTACTTAAGTGGTCAGATATTCTAATCGATGTCATTTTAACAACTTTCTTTTATTTCTTAATAACTGCCCCCAAGGACCAGTTCTTGAGCGACATTTGGCAAACTACCTGGGGTTACTATATATTTTAGGAAAATAATAGTATTATATGTCTCAGTCTCCTTCTTTAAAATTAGTCTAGATTAGTGAGGTTTATAATACATATAGAGAAAATTCATACAAATATTCCTTTTCCAGCATAATTTCTAAAATGCTGTCAATTATAATAATCCTCTTTTCCCCAGGTTTGTCCTGATCTTGCTAAATAAAAGTTGTCAAGACAGCTGACTAGCCCTGGTCTTTAACTAACGTCAAGCCAAGAGTGTTAGAAACCCACTGCTCTACATGGGCCAATGGTTTACTGGCCTAAAGACAGCTGGTCTTCAAATGACATTTGCTAACACTATTAAAAAGCATTGGCTCAAAGTATTTATGAGGGACCCTTCTGACATAATCATCATCAGTCACACACAGTTTTATGATCAGCAGCTTATAATGGGATTCTGTTGTTATGTGAATATTCACCAGTCCTGTCAATATGATTTACAAAAGGCTTCAAAAGGAATTGATTTTTCAATTGGTTATTTAAAAATATAATGTATTGACCTATGCTCACGAATGAAAATACAAGTATTGTTTAAATTTAGGTGTGGTTAAAACCATACTGAGATACTCTACCCTTACTATAGTGGTTAAAAAAGATAAAACAAAATAAAACAGACCGACCTTACCAAGCACTGACTGATAAGTATGCAGAACGACTGGACAGACACTTTGGGAAACAGTCCAGCCGTTTCTTAAAAAAGTTATGCATACTTTCCATATGACCCAGCAGTTCTAGTCCTAGGTATTTACCAAAGTGGAATGAAAATTTATTCCAAACAAAAAGTTTGTAAGTGAATGTTTGCAGCACATTTATTCATCGTAGCCCCAAAGAGGAAACCACCCATACGTCCATTAACTGGTGACTAGATAAACAAATTATGGCTCTTCTTTACTACTATTTAGTCAAAACTACTATCAGTAGTCTGATCAGTATGAACTACTGATACATATGGCTAGGCCATGTGCAGGAATGTCTAAATCATTGTGCTAGCTGAGCCAAGCCAGACTCGAAAGTTCTTCATTCTATATACTTCCACTTATAGAACATTCTGGAAAAGGCAAAACCATAAAAGGTAGAAAACAAACCTGTGGTTGCTGGGAGTTGGGTTGACTAAAAAGGGGGATAAGGGAATTTTTGGGGGGGGTGATAGAACAATTTTATATATTGATTGTGGTAGTGGTTTCATGAGGGTATCAATTCGTCAAAATTCATGGAACTGCAGCCCTAACAAGAATATTTTTATTATATGTAAATTTTACCTCAATAAATTCAGTGTGGGGGCACCTGGGTGGCTCAGTGGCTCTGCCTTCAGCTTGGGTCATGATCCCAGGGTCCTGGGATCAAGCCCCGCATCAGGCTCTCTGCTCAGCAGGGAGCCTGCTTCCTCCTCTCTCTCTCTTCCTGCCTCTCTGCCTACTTGTAGATCTCTGTCTGTCAAATAAATAAATAAAATCTTTAAAAATAAATAAATAAATTCAGTGTGATAATTGGAAGATAAATGAGAGTTTAAGATAGGTATATCCTTTCCTTGTATACGTAAAGATACAAATGAAAGCCAACAACCTCACTCTCCTTGTGGCAGACATAGGTTAACTTCATTGCCAGTTTAAGATCAGGTGAAAGCTACAGTGTTACCATGGATACAAGCTATTATTTCCTTTTGTGTGAAATCTCTAATATTAAATGGTGACTCACATGTAATATCGGGGTAGACTCAGAAACAACCAAAGCCACCCAAGGGTTTTTAGCCTTAGCACCCCTGCCCATAACATTTTCTTCATGAACATAAGAGCAACTATAATGTCAGTGAAAATATCTTTAAAGAACTAAAAGAAGAAAGGGTAAAAACTTTTTGGCTAAACTTGAGGGCAATTCTAAAAATGGCCGCCTAGTTTGAAGGCTGTGAAGACTGTATTTTCTTTTGTTTGTTACAGAAATAATTTCCCATAGATCAACTCCTGAAACAACAACGTGTGGGAGGCTAACCTGTCCTCTAGCTGTTGACTTTCCTGTGAGATCACAGTTTTCTAATTAAGAAAGTGGATAGTGGGTAGATCGAGAGGAAATTTAAAAATCAGCAGAATCCTTTGTGGTAGGGCTCAAATTAGCATGTTATGGTCATTTATTCAGAACGATATGAAGGTAGAAATTGACTCCGAAAGAGCACATATTTTTGAACATTATTAAAGCTGTGTTGCCAGAAAGACTGCCATGCAGCCACCTAATAACCACTAAAAATTACAATCATAGTTCTTGCCACTGAGGGAGTGCTTCCCGCGTTACCAGGAGGAGCTACACGTACCTCTAGGATGTTGGCTTCCTATCTATGGTCCAAGAATCCAGAGCTCCCCACAGGCTCCACGTTAGTCCTTCTTCTGTGCTTCTGTCCATTACTCTGACATTCCACAGGTGTATTTGCCTACCATGTGGCTATTAGTGATTGAATTATGTCCCCTCAAAATTTCCATTTTCAAATCCTAGCCCCCTGTGCCTCAGAATGTGATGTTATTTGGAAAAAGTCATTACAGGTCTGATCAGTTCAGATGAGGTCACACTAGAACAGCATGGGCCCCTTGGTCCTATACAAATCGTGTCCTTAGAAAAAGCAGGAATGTGGATGCTGACATGCACAGCGAGAAATAAAGGCAGAAAGCAGGGTGATATGTCTACAAACCAAAGACCACCAAAGACTGCCAGCAAAGCACCGGAAGCTAGGGGACAGAACGGGGAGCAGATTCTCCACACAGCCCTCAGCAGAACCAACCCAGCCGACACCTGGATCTGGCACTTCTTACCTCCAGAACTCAGACGACACATTTCTATTGTTCAAACCAAACCCTATGAAATCAAATCCCACAAAACAAAACTGAAGTACACCTCCTATTGACAAGAAGATTCTGCCAATGTCTCAGAGGCTGCAACAGCCGAACACTTCCTCCAGGGGGCTGCAGCTCTGTGGTGACCTCCGTCTTGGCTCCTGTGTGGACCAGGATCCCAGGACCCAGACTGACCCCCCAGCGTGCTTCTCCCTGACGAGCTCCCCCCTATCTCCTCAGACTGCCTTCAGACATGAGTCTTTGAGCATCATAACAGTTTTATCAACTGGAAAAGCAACGGAGGTGAACTTTCCTAGAGGAGAAGAGGGCCCTTTGCATGAGGTATGAGATGGTAGCCATGGTCTTGGCCTGGCATAGCCGTCTCTGGGGGAATTGAAAGACAGGCTCTCCTGGCAGGGGCGTCGAGGCACACCCAGCGTCGGGACATGTGGACAACCCCGGGAGCCTCGCATAGCAGCTGTTACACCCATTTCCAAGCGCAGGGACCTGAGCGGGACTGTAATGACATTTTCCTGGCGAGCACTGACCTCTGAATTGCACTGATTTGCCTAACACACACTGTGAAACATCAACCAGTTAGGACTCAAAGCCAAGACTCAAAAATGGCTTTAAAATGGCAGGAGATGTTTAAGACATAATTTCTGTGACTTGGTCATTAACTTGTTTCTATCTTAGTCTGCACATCTTTTTTTCTTTTTTTTATACCCTTTCCTCTAAATTATTTTTCCCTGTTTGGCTAATGTTTCTGTAGCAGTTACTTCTTATTATTAAGACACTTCTGTAGGCAATTCACGCTCCTGATCTTGGAGAGCAGTCAATATGGACGGGGAATTAAAACAATATCCTACTTAGTATATAGTTTGGTTGCCCATCATTCTATTTACATTTCCCTTGTTTAAATAAAAACAGTTTTTCCCCCAGAAAAGAGTGGTTAGGTTTGTACATTCTGAGGGGTAATACAGAATACCCACGTGTGACAATAATCTATGCCATGTTGTTCCAAAGCAACTCGAAGGCTCAAACACCATAACTCTGTCACAAGTCACTTGAGATTTTCAGACCTCGATCCTGCTATGAATCTTTGATTCTATTCTCCATCTGCTGTGCTGGGGTCTCCCATCCCCTCAACCCCTCACCCCCACAGTCTGTGCTCCTTCTCCCTCCTCCATTGCCCAGTGACTCCTGGCTCTTCCTAACAACTTCCACAGACACATCTTTAGCTTCAGTGTAGGAGGCTGAAGTCTGGTGCTCCTTCGCAAAAGCACAGACACCACCCTGTTCCCAAAATTGCCCATTCTGGTGCTTCATCCACTCCATCAATAAACATCTTAACTCTGCACAGTAGCATTTTCATGAGACCCGACTAGATCCTCACTATAATCCAGAAGAAGTGAAAACAGTAGCGTTTACATTTACATGGAGCTTGGAAACAAGCCCACCGTGCCTTCATAAAATCCACTGGCATGCTTTCAACTTAGAAGTTCTCAAGGACAAAACACCCTCATCACAATCTGTAAGGATTTTCTGACCATTTGTCACGAGGCTGAATTCCAGCCACAAACCTCTCCACCTCCTCGATTCTCTCGCTTAGCTTCCAACCTCAAGGGCATATTTCTTTAACATAATTCTTTAGCTTTGCTGTTTCTCCACATTCTGCCCTCCAACACCCACTAGCACTTTCCTTTCCTTGCGACTCAGTGTCTGGTTGTCCTTCCTTTTCCTTCACCTTTCCCGGCAAATGGCTGCCATTTCACTTCCACTTAACACACAGGTCCCACTCCCTCAGACCCAAAAGAACAAAATCTGGGCCTGGTACCTGCTGCATGCCTTGCATGGTCTGCTGCAGGAACTGGAGCTGCTGGTCCTTGGTAACAGTTTCCTCTGTTCGAAAGAGCTGTTCCTTCTCTTGTTTGAGCAGCTCTACCTCGTTCCTGTAGGCATCCAGCTGCCAACGGAGACTGTCGTTCTCCTCCTTGAGAGCATAGGCCTGAGCGGCCAGGGCTGCAACACAGAGTGAGTTCAAGTCAGTCAACTTCCTGCTTTGACAGTGGGGGCCTTTTGTGGGAGGGGCAGTCTCTCACCCCAATTCTTACCGTTAGCCCCAGCTCAGAGACATCCCCAAAGGCCTTGCCCCAGGGCTCTTTAGTTTGCAGTTGGTGGGCATGACCACTTTGGGGATTTTTATCTATTCTATTTGTCTTGTTTTATGGAGGAAATGTTTCCTGGGGGCATGGAATAATTCCTTCCAAAGGCCCATCTCTTGACCTCTCCCCCAATCCGAGGCTCTAAGAAGTCCAGATGGTGGCTAAGTGGCAAGAGCATTGACAATTCCAAGCAACAATCGCACCCAACCCCTTTATTGTCCTGTTTCTGCAGGCTGGCTTGGCGGCTCGGGGGCCACTTTCTCTCCAGCAATCAGCCATTCCACAGGTGGAGGCCAGCGGCAGTGCTCCCAGGGAGGGAGGAATTGACAGGCACGCCATTCCTCCCTCACAGTGGCTGGGACACATCAGACAGCTTATTTGCTCACTCCTGTCAGAAGGGTAACCTAGTTCCATTTGTTTCACAGACAGATTAAAACTCTGAGTCCCTACAAGGCTGAGTGGTTACTCAAATACCCATTCTTGAAACCTAAAACTCCCAGGTGTGGACTTGGACCTCACGCACACCTCCATCTTACCAAGAGATGGAGACTATTAACACAGGGTCCTCCACACCTCAGAGCTTCGGAAACAGCAGAGACTGAAGAAGAAAGAATGAGTGGTACGAACAACACTGAGGATGGTTTCCAGCTTAGGGCTTTTTGGCCTCTCCAGTGATGAGAACCGTCGGCTGGACGCATACCAAGTGATAGGCCCTGAACCTAGAGCTTTGTTTGGACTAAGTCCCTATACCCCCCATCAAGCCTGCTCTTAATCCCCCTCTTTACAGGTGACAGAGGTGAGGCACAGAGAAGTTAGAGAACTCTTCTCATCCCACAAAGTAAGTAGCAGGAATAGTCTTGGGGCACCTGGGTGGTTTAGTCGGTTAAATGTCCGACTCTTGGTTTCAGCTCGGGCCATAATCTCATGGATTGTGGGATCCAGCCCCATGTCAGGCTGCTTGCTCAGTGGAGAGTCTGCTCAAAGATTCTCTTTCTCTGCTCCTACCCCAACTCATTCTCTCTCTCTCTTTAAAATAAATAAGTAAATCTTAAAAAAAAAAAAAAAAAAAAAAAAAAGGTAGCATGAACAGTTTTCAAGTCACTGGGCTGTTCTGCCAGTCTGGGTGTGTTTAGTTCTTACTAATTTGAAACTCCTTGCGAATTCTCTCCTCCACTCTCCTACCAGTATCCCACACTTTCTCCCCCTCCCACGGCAAATTCATGCTCTACTGTTGTAAGCAAGATAAAAGCGGAAGAGAAATTTCAAACTTAACAGAAACTTCTCCAAAGAAGTGGCTTCCAATCTGTAAGGGCAGAATGTGAGGCCGGGTTGAACCCGGGTATGGCCGGGTTCTCAGTGTGCTCATTTCTACCTCCCACTTCCCAAAACCAATCAGACAGCACTGGAGGTCAGCCCCTGCGTGTTCTAACTTCACGTTGCAGTACACTGACAACTGATCTTCACAGAGGTGCTCTGAAATCCCTGTGAATGCTCTCCTCAAGTATCAAACATGAAATTACGTTAATAATAGCTTTATAGTTGAGTGGTTTATGGTATTCTGCTTTGCAAAATGATTATGTATAGGACATAGGAAAGACTAATCAAATAGAACATGCAATTAACCAGAAAATTCCCTACCTCAAACCATCAGGGATCAATTAGTCAACAAGCATTTACTGCATATGGACTCTGTGCCCAGGCCTGTCTAGGCATCTTGGATCACAAAAGGAGGAGCCGGAATAGGTCTCTTCTCTCAAGCAGTTCAGATTATGAGAAACTGATTCATTTGTAAAGAAACCAACACATTCTGGGGAAGAGGGATCAGCCTGATGCCTGGCATATAGTAGGAACTTAGTGAATGTTGGCTGACGAACAAATAAATGGGCAACTTAGTGTCAAGGACCTATAGGAGCTGCAGGAAGAGAAAGGGAGACACAGATCAGAATAATAAAAGAGGGCTTCAGAGGCTGGAAGCCCGAGGATCTGGGAAGGATGTCTCAGCCTAAGCAAAAGCCCAGGGAGGAGAATGGGAGAGCTACTGCTTGGGGCAGGGAGGGCGACTACTTGGGGCAGGAAGGAGAGAAGCTCCATCCACAAGGCAAGTGTTGGTCTGCAGGCAGGGAGAGAAAGGTGAGCCAGGCCTGGTGATGAGAGGGGATGGAGGCTCAGAAGTCAGGCTAGAGAGCCCGATTCAGTGCAGCAGCCAGCGCAGAACCACTCCAGGTGCCTAGGCAGTGAAAGGACACTATGAAACCAGTGATTTAGTAAGATTGGTTTGGCAATGGTGCGTGGAACGAACTGGAGGCTGAAAAGAACGAATGGAGGAAATTGTATTTGGTGTCCATGTGTGTGCAAAACCACGGAACAGCCAATTTTACAGTTTTCAGGGACGTATAAAATCAGAAATGACCAGAATATGGCCAGGAGCGTGAGCTAGTGCTTTTTAACATCACGCGGCCCAACTTCAGATCTTGTCCACACCCCGAGACACCAACCCCTGACAACTCAGTTTACCAATCCACAAGGAAATGGCTGTGAGGCATCGTTTGAGAGGGAATGCTGTAATAGGGCAAAATTACAGAAAATGCAAATGATGGAAAAAGTGTTGGCACTACATAAGCACATTACTACATTTAGTAGCATTCAAAGACACTTAAGTCATTTCCTTAGGAAGCTCTATTTGGCCCTTTTTCAATTTAGAGTGGCATTTTTATTATCATAACTGATAGCAGGTGTTTGTGAAGAAATCGATTAGTATGCAGGGATGGAAATTACATTTTCCAAATGAATTGCATAGTCTGCAAGATACGCTGAAATCTGTGTAGCAAAATGCAAGCAGCTATAAAGCATGTGCCAGCAACATTATTTAAATAAATTATCTGAACATAAATACATATAGGAAAGAGCACCATCCATTATTTCATGGGCTCTTCTTAGAAGCCTGTGGAATGGCACTGCTGATAGCTCTTATTCTTGGCTGAGCCGAGTGACCACTGTTTCTGCCAAGGAAGAGACAATGCTCGGGCATTGCATTTCTGGAATAGGACAGTGATATCATTATATTAAAAAAAAAAAAAACAAAAAACAGCAGTTGTAACTCTGTAACAACCCCCTCCCCCCAAATCAATACCATAGCAAATCCCATCAAAGTTTTTGTAACTGAGGCATATAACGATTTTACATTCCTGATTAAACGATTTCAAGCTTGATATTTGCAAAAAAAAAAAAAATGGTTACTCATGTGGCAGCAAAGTGGTTATTTTTGAAGAGTGAGAAATTGTGTATTGACTCCACTTAACTTCAGGACACCTGTTTGTACACATTATTCAATGTCATGCCTCAGCCCTGAATGTAACCTTCAGATGAGGCTTCCTGCAACACGCTATATTATGTTTCTAAAAGAAACAAAACCCTGATAATTCCTACCTTAATATTATTTTTTCCAGTATATTAAAAATTCAGAAACTTGAAAGTTCCGCTTTTTCATTTCTCTCTCTTTTTTTTAAATCTTTAGTTCTTTCTGGGACACTGTATTAAACAGTTTTGAAAAATGTGTCATCAAGCTTCTATGATAAAATTTACCCTTGAGAGACTGCATAATAAATTCACTATTCAAATAAGCATAAGGATTAAAAATAAACTATAGTGTGCATCTTTTAGTAAGAATCCCTGAAGAGTGCACTACGTTTCAATAAATGGAATATTTAGCTAAGAGCCACCCTATGTGGATTGCCAATTTTCAATAATAATAAAAAAAGAATACAGTTTAAGACTTCAGTGTAAACTACTCTCCTGACTATAATTAAATCTTCCTCTGGTGATTATAAAGGTGCTCTGAATCCAGCAGTGCTCATGGGTTATCATTGGTTCATTCACCAACCAACAGGTTACTGAGAGGCTCTGTAAAGAAACTGCGGCATTGGACGCCTGGGTGGCTCAGTCAGCTAAGCGTCTGACTCTTGATTTCCACTCAGGTCATGATCTCAGGGTTGTGAGATTGATCCCCCAGCCCCTTGTGGGGCTCTACATTCAGCAGGGCCTCTGCTTAGATTCTCTCCCCTCCCCTCTGCACAAAGGCGCATGTGTGCGCTCTCACTCTCTCAAATAAGTAAATAAAACAAATCTTAATTAAAAAAAAAAAGAAGAAGCTGCAGCATACACAAGGGGAAGGCCAGTGTGGTTGTCAATTCATACTTGCTCAGGCCTTAGAAAACTTCTGTTACTGGATTTTCCAAATGGATCGCAAATGCAATAACAATGTAAGAAAAACTCTGCTAACCAAGATTAAATTACATTTCAAAAATTAGCACTGGGCTACTAAAATTACCAAAGTGACATTAGGGTAGGAAATTGATCCCAAGATTAAATTGCACTGCTGAAAGGAGAGGTCTAAAGGCATTATAGCAGCTTGCTGTACCCTTTACTGGATTCTATAGAAACCATTATTCTTTATATTAATTATGGTCAAAGTGACCTCTTTGTGTCTCTTGGATTACTTACTGTGTTTCCATGGGAACAGATAGTGGCATGCTTAACTTCTTTAAGTAAATAATCTGGTGAAAGCCTGGAAATCTCTCTCTTACTAGCCTGAGCCAGCCTCAGAAAAATAATTAGCACTATATGAAGAATGTAAGTTATTTTGGGTTATGTCCCAGTAAGCTGACAGTATGTTAATATCTTTTTCATGCTCGGGCGAGATGTAACTAAATAATAAAACACTTTAACATATTATTACTAACAATATCTGGATTTCTCAGGGACTGTTCATCTCGGCTTCTTTGGGGAACTCTGTGTTTAGCATTCTCCCTCTGCTCTGCCAGATGTCCCCCTGGAATGCCGGAAGGGTGCTGTCAAGTG